GGAAAGGAAAGGAAAGGAAAGGAAAGGAAAGGAAAGGAAAGGAAAGGAAAGGAAAGGAAAAGAACAAAAGCATGATTACATTTGCTCATAGATACTGGAAAGCTCAAGTATGTGCAGAAAGCTCAATGTCTGCCAGAAATTAAATGAAGCATGAAGTGAAAGAAATCTCCATGCAAACAAATGTATCAAGTTTCCTTTGGCTTTATCTGCCAACTCCTGTAATAAGTTTAGTTTAAATGTGTACTGGTTTTGTCTGGGGTAGAGTTAATTTTCTTCATAGCAGCTGGTACGGGGCTGTGTTTGGGATTTGTGCTGGAAACAGTGTTGATAGCACAGGGATGTTTTGGTTGCTGCTGAGCAGTGCTGACACTGAGTCAAGGCCTGTTCTGCTCCTCACCCCACCCCACCAGCGAGTAGGCTGGGGGTGCACAAGGAGTTGGGAGGGGACACAGCCGGGAGAGCTGACCCCAACTGACCAAAGGGATATTCCATACCATATGATGTCATGCTCAGCATATACAGCTGGAGGAAGAAGGAATGGGGGGGATGTTCGGAGTGATGGCATTCGTCTTCCCAAGTAACTGCTACATGTGATGGAGCCCTGCTTTCTTGGAGATGACTGAATACCTGACTGTTGATGGGAAGCGGTGAATTAATTCCTTGTTTTGCTTTGCTTGCCTACGTAGCTTTTGCCTTACCAGTTAAACTGTCTTTATCTCAACCCATGAGTTTTCTCACTTTTACCCTTCTGATTCTCTCTCCCATCCCAGTGGGGGGAGAGTGAGCGAGGGGTTGTGTGGTGCTCAGTTGCTGGATGGGGCTAAACCATGACAAAATTCCACAGATGCCTTTTATTTTTTTAATGACTAGGTTGAGATACTGAAATAAACAGGACAGCTGAAAGCATTAAGAATATAATTTACCTGCTGGGCAAGACGCTCTGCTTCTTGCCTTTGTCTTTCTCTAAAAATGAAGGAAGAAAAGAAGTTAGCAAATTAAGCTCAACATAAGCTCATCACGTACCTTTGCTAGGGCAATAGCTCAACTCACAGAGATCATCTGCCACATGGAAGAGAGCCAAAAATAACATCACCACTGACTTGTTTGTAAATATGAAATGACCATGATAACTAGCTAAATGCATGTTTTAGCAATAAAGCAAACATTTCCAAAATCACCTGATCGAGAACAGCCTGAAACACAGGCTGTTCAGACCAAAACCAAATATGGCACATACAGAAGAGAGATGTAAGACAGCAGACTGCACCTTTCTTCCTCCTCTTTCCTTCTTTCCTCCTCTTGTCTCCGCTTCTCCTCCAGTCGCTCCCTGTAAACACGTCGAGCAAGCTGGCCTCGCCGCTGCTTCTGAAGGATAATGGCTGCTTTTTTCAGGCACAGGAACCTTTTCCTACCACAGAATGCTCTGTAGTTCTTCTGTATCACAACCACACAGTAGAGAACCTTTCTGTACCGCTTTCTGGTGGGGGAAAAAAAAAAGGCAAATTTCTAAGGAAACAAGGAACTAATGAGCAGTCGAGAGAGGTCTTGCCATGGTGGCCTGCAATAATGAGCCCATGGTAGTAAACCAATTTATTATTTCTATCTCTGTGACGCCTTCCCCATTCTTGTTCACATTCTCTTTCCTAGGAGAGGAAAGAGATCCTCTCATTTCTACGACAGAGCTGTTATGTGTCTTCATTAAGGAAATGCACATTACTTGTCTTACATGTTCTTATGTCCTGACAAGGAGAAGCTGAAACAACAGCTCTGTGTGTGTGTACACATGCGGGGAAAGAACACACATAAAGAGTCATCCCACGTCTCTGCAAAGAAAGATCATGAACAGCAGGATCCCTCTGTCATTAGAAAGGGAATATAGTTTTTGAGTAACACACCTGTCAGAATATAAGGACAGGATTAATATGCACACAAAGAGAAATTACCTCATTATGCAAACAAGTCTCCTTAAACTGTCCTCAACTGATTAGTAGAAAAAAGCAGAGAAATAAACAGATGGGATGAGCAACTCCACCTAATACATAATGAATGAGGCCAGGTAAACAAGTGAATCATTCGTCATTCCTTAAGAACCAAACTGATTAGTTTTATTTGTCTTCTCTTTTCTTGCCAAGAGAAAGCAAAGATAAAGCTGAATCTCAGCTAGTAACTTTGGGCAGCCCCACTAGGTGCCATCCAGCTACATTTCCTACCATGGATCTAATGCCATGATACAACTGTATGGATACTGCCTGACCTCCAACCTTCAATGCCATCTTATTTGTTGTATTAAACCAATTCAAACTCCACTTTGTTTTATTCATGTGTCTGGCAAAGATACCAGCTGGGATGTTCAAAAGCCACTTAACAGGATTTGGATGCCTGGTCCCTAGGAAAAAGTAAGAACAGTGCCAGAAGGATTAAACTCCGTGACACCCTGCCCATTTAATCCAAAGCTTAATTATTAATATTCTCGGCTAGTCACTTACCGGGCTGCATAACCTAAGATGTGCGCTCGGATAATCATTGCTGCCCTGGTGACTTCCACCTCTCGCTGTTTCTCCAACTTGTGTTCCAAGGACTCCCGGAGAAAAACCTACACAAGACAACTTCTGGCTTAACAGCTTGCAGAGAGCATCATATATAAGGGACAGCCAGGGTGCTGCTGATGTCAGTCGGTGCAGCAAGCCTCGGCTTTACAGTCAGAGACAAACATATCCTTTCCTCAACAAAAAAACCAAACCGTATTCCTCTTAAAATAACATACCTGCAGACAGTCCTCTAAATTTGGATTTCAGTGGGAAGAGCCTGATTATAATAATGGGAATTTTAATCAGGAGCAGGTTTCTTCCAAAAGTAACATGGTAACCAGATTCACTAAACTGGCTTTCCCACCAGAGAGTAACACAAGCCAAAAAGATTTGTAGGGCTTAGCATCAATTTCCCGATTTGAGGGGCAGAAATAACACCCCAATAATTTAGCTGCCTCACAGTAGCATCAAGCTTCCACAACTCCTTACAGGCCTCATTCCTTCAAATGTCACTGCTATAAATCTGCAGAAGCAAACTGAAATTCCCTAAGCAGGAGGCGGAATGGAGGAAACCCTTGAAAACGATGCAGTTGTGGGGAAAAGAGGGCAAGGAGGAAGGGCGTTTCACACAGATATCAGGCAGATTTTATGAAATATTTTTGAGTACTCAGTGCTTTTACATCATGTGTCAAGTCCAAGAGCACAAATTCACAAGGAGGAAAGCTCTGCACACAGCCCATCTCTAAAATCAAACTTGCAAAACGAGCATGCAAAACCACATGGATTTTTCTCTTTCTCAAAATGAAATTCCATTCTTTTAATTAAAAAAACTTGCTTTTTTTTTTAAGAAAAAAAACCCAAAAAACAATGTTGCATGCAAAGTTCAGGTCGTCCAGTAGGACGCATCTTGAGTTCTGATGTACTTCTGAAAAAGACTGTCAGACTAGGATGGCAAACACACTTAGAGCTCAACTCCGCCACGCGAACACTGGCTAAAATTCCTCCCCCTGCTTTCAGCCACTGCGCAGGTTTCATGCAGGTGGGCTTACTAGTATGAGCGGAGCTCCCTGCAGAACAAACGTGTTACCCCACACGCTCAATACGTTAAAAAATGACAAAATCCAGCTACCCTGTTTTAAGTTCTGACCCTCACCAGCGCTATCGCTTGTGAGCAGAGGCAGAAAACTCAAGCGGACTCCTCCTCCACAAGTGAAATCACTGGTCAGTGTGCCTTAGAGGAATTTCCACAGCAAATTCCTCTGCACAACCAGTAATTGTTGCTATGAGGGTTTCAAGAGCACCCACAGGCACGCGCAGCTTCTTTCAAGGCCAGAAGTAATTACCATTACAGCTACATCTCTGCAGCTGTGCAGCCTAAAACCTGTTCCCTCAGCTTTGCATAAGCGCCAGCCCCACAGTATTTACAGTCAGATTATTTTACCTTATTTTTTCCAAGCTGCCATTCAGTGCTGGTGTTGTCATACAGACGAAGTAGGACGGCACATTTCTCATTTACATCTTCGGGCAGAGTTAGGTTTCTCATGAGGACTTTATACCTGGCAATCAAAAAGTATTTATTACTTTTATTTAAGAGACAAATCCTATTTTTGCCATATGATTTTTTTTGTCATTGGATTTTTCACTGATTCCTCAGCACGGGAACACTGATTTGGTACCTGTGACTCGCATCTGAAGCTCACAAGTCAGTGTGTTTACCTTTTATAAAAGTCTTGAAAGGGCCTCCGGACTGGGAAGCCAGCCCTCCGAATCCTGACTGTCTCCAACATCCCAGAATAGCGCAGCTGGTTAAGCACCACTGTCTGATCAAACTGGTCTGGCATCTGAAACGAGCAGGTTCCAAACAAGGATTTTAATAGCAATGGTTAGGGGTGTCAGGGAAATAAACAAAGGGCAAATTATACGAATCTGCAAGGCACAAAGGCTAAGAACTGGCTACACAATGCCTTGAAGGACATTGGCAGTTCAGAACACATAAAAATCTATCTACAGGATGGAAATAAAGGGGTAATTACACAATATAATCTCCAGAAACACAACATTTACAGGCATTTAATCCAGCCAGAGCTCCCTTTCCATTTCTCATACATTCGCTGGCCGCTGCTGCACAGGACGAAACAGCGGAAAGAAGCACAGGCAGCAAACAGCCCAATGGCTACAAACTTGAGTATTTTGTTTCTTCAGCAGCTGAATTTACAGTCCCTGGCGATGATCCCAAACATTGACCATACACAAATACAGCAGTGTGATATGGCTTTAGAAAAAAAACACAAACAAACACCGAAAGAAGGCTAATCCCTGCCTTCCAAAACACCAGCAACCCCGAGACCAAAATAACACCACGTGCAAATACACCATTTAATTCATCAGCCCCAAACTCCACTTCAACCCACCAGCTGACTCTCCGGCACAGCCATGTGCAGGGCCAGAGTACGGCGCTTAGTATTTTGCAAGAAGTTCGGAAGGTGGGATCTCGGAGATGGAGTCAATGTTTTATGTCAGACCTGACTTTCTTCACCTGATCGAAATGCAAGATCAAGCCCTGAGCAAGTGTGAATCAGTGGACCCTCTTGGCATTTCTTAACGGGCTTTAATCAGGGCTCTTGTTCAACTCAGCAAATAAATGATTCCCCAACATTTTAACTTCTCAAAAGTAATTTCAGGAAAGCACAGACCCAAAAGTTAATAAAAAATACCTAGTCCAAACTTTTCCATCAGCGCCTCTACGCATAAAACGCAACGCTGGGTGCCAGCGATAACTCAGATATGTTAATTAGGTAGCTTCAAGAATGTCGATAGATTAGCTTTTACCTATCTCCTCTGAAAGGCAAAATACCTAAATCAAAATTTTGCTATTCTTCCTTTCATTAATTTCTTTTCTGGAGCAGAGGTGGGAGACTTCTCTGCAGGTGCAGCAGCCCTTCTGCACCGAACTGTTGCAGAGCCGTATGGGCAAACGCTTCCCCGGCACTCACCGTTCCTCTGGCAGCGAAAGACCTTCCAACCCCTTCCTTTGCTACTGGGGCTAAAATTCATATGGAAAAAAACACCACAGTCCGGCCCTTCCCTCCACAGTCAATCAGACTGAAGAAAAATGAAAACAATTTGTGTTTTAAAAAGCGGCCGGTCACCACGGTGAGCTCTGCCCTGCCTGGGGTCATCCAGTGCTGCGTGCCGGCAGCACCTAATCCACCCGGAGCAGACGGATGGGGGCTACGGAGAAATTCAGCCAACGCCAGCAGCTGCCTTCGCCTTCCCTCTGCAAGAGGGGCTTCTCACCCCAGGGAGGCTCAGGAGCTGCCCTGTTACAAATGCGGTTTAACCTTTCATTTCCATACCTGCACGTATTAAAAACCTGATGTTCCACAACGGGGAAAAACGAACGACGCAAACAAACACTTCCTTCTCAACAATGTGCTTAATCTGGATTTTGCCACCCCCAGTAAAATGCACCACAAGCAGAATGTTTGTATTGTACTGAACACGGAGTATGAACGCCTGCAAGAAAGGCATGGATAGTCACGGCTGGTGCTGCCAATGGTGTCTTCCGTAGATGCCCCCCACGGCGAGGTTGGGGCAACAGCCTGGCAAAGCTGCCCTTTGAATGCCCCTGCACCCCCCTGCCTGCTTGTTTCAGCACAAGCGGCTGAGGATGCCAACAGGAAAGAGAATGACCTAACGCAGATGCATGCACAAACCATGGGAAAAACACATTCCCATTTTCCCTCGTGCAACACAAGGCTGATTCGTGCCACAGATGGAGCAGGTCAAAACGTCGGTTTTCTTTCTTTGACACTACATATACACTGAGTCCCATCTACCCCACCCACACTCGCTGGCTCAAAAGGTGATGTTCCTCGCAAGACTTGCAAACAAAAAGAGTATTTTCGGGGCAGTGAAGCCAGGAAACAGATGCAGAGATGGGAGTACACACCAAAGCCAGGCCAAATGTTGGTGACGCTGTAGATGTCTCTCTCACAAGGCAGGTTCTCAGTTTGCCATCTCCTGCTTTGAGAGCCAGATGGCTGCTGCACCACCTAATCCTTTTATTGCCAGCCCCAGGCACTTAAAAAGTCAAAAGTCAACCACAAGGCTGGCTTAAAGCTCATGTTACTTCTTAAGAAAACTTTCTCTTCCCATCCCTGGTTTGAGTCACAGAGGGAGAAGCAACGTTTCCATGACCATTTTCCAGCAACTACAGAAGTTAGGAACAGCCCTACCCTGTCACCAGAAGCTGGGGTCGTCACACCGTCACCTAACTCGGAAGCCTGCATTTTAAAGGAAAGCACTAAGTGATGTTAACACGGTATTGCAGCAGGCCAGCATAAAGCCCGCCGTTATTTTAATTACATAAGCATACTCCTTCACCTGACTTTACTAGTTATTTTTAATTACTCACAGACACATGAGGCTATTAAATTGGAGGGTTAAATCCTGCCCTGGCATATCGCTGGAACCGCATCTCCAACAAGTCTGGCTGCTTTGAGTAAACCAGACGTGGTGGTTAGAGATGTGCCGGAGTCCTACACTTCGAATATGGGGTACCAGACGATACTCCCCATCTCCTGGGAGGGGGCTGACCGAGCCATCGCAGCAACCCTTAACTCTAAAATGCATCCGTGGTTTCACCCGTCTAATGGAAACAACCAGAAGTAACAAGTGTAGTCCTACGCACAGCAGCACAGCATCCAACCCATCCACCGTATGACTGGGCGACATGCTGCACCTCAGGCAGTTCAGCTCTGTGGGTGAGGAGGATTTCAGCCTTAATCACATAAACACTTGCAGACAACGATAAACTTAAGGATAAGTTGGGAGTCAGCAGGACTCCTCATACTTAAAAATAAAATGCATGTGCATTTATTGAACCAGAGCACAAGTGCTGTTATACACCCTGCTGTAAACCGCCGACACCTCTGAGACAGAGAACGATGACCATGTCTGCTTGAACGATGCTCAGTGCAGCACTATGAAGTTAAACTTGCAGTAGTATGACAACTCCATGCACAGGGCTGCAGGTGCAGCTGATGCTCAGTCTTGTGTCTTCACTGTTGCTCCTTCAGAATTCTGGGAGTCAGCAAGCTGGCTTTCCGATTTATAGCCAAGTCACAAACGACAGGAGGGATCTCTGGGGTCTGGTAGGTTTTTACAAGTGTTGCTGTAAAAATTGGACCTGTTTCACAAATGAACATTGAGCAGCCTGGTCTAGTGGAGGGTGTCCCTGCCCATGGCAGGGGGGTTGGAACTAGATGGTCTTTAAGGTCCCTTCCACCCCAAACCATTCTAAGAGACTATGATTTGGGAATAAATTGTAATCTGTAGGAAAATTTCAAACAGACAACAGAACTGATTTTAAAACAGTAAGTCTTCCAAAGTAAAAATTGGAATTAATTGCTAAAAGTAAGACTCCTGCAAAGTAACATCAAATTTATAAAAGAGAAGGTAACAGAAAAGGAAGGCCACTGGTAGCTTCCAAAATTGCTAGAAAGCTGCAATCAACTTCAAATCAACTTAGTTTCCAAGAGGTATTTCACTTTTATCAAGGAATGGCAGCACTAAACCACTCCGACACGCAAAATTGCCTGACCATGGCCAGACTCCTGTGGATCACTGCCAAGTTAGGGCACTGAGCACCATCCATGTGAAATAAACAGCTACAAGTCAGGTCTGTTCTACTTGATAAAGGCATTTTTTTTTGTGGTGCGCTCCTTCACAGCACAACTTGTATCATTTCCCGAATCCAAAAGCCTCCACTGAATTTGCAGCAGACGGCACTGAGGACAAGGCTTTAAAACAACCTGGAGTCTGCGCTGGCAAGACTCTGGCTCCTTAAGCTGCTAATACTTGCTGTGATCTGTTGTGAGCCTCCTAAAGGGTAAAGCTGCTGCCTGAAATCACAATTAGAAGCTGCCATTAGGACAGACATCTAACACCTACACGTAACTTTCGTGATAAAATAATTCCTTAGGTTACAGTCTGACTGAGGCTCAAAACATCACCTTTTCCCTGGACAAGCACCCTTAGTGGAGACCCAAACATTTGAATAACACACAGAGAACACAGTATCTTTTTTGTTCCGCACATCATTTGCTCTGTCCAAACGCGGAGGATACCCGACTTCACCCCATGGAGATCCTTCTTCCTCCATGAACCACTGGCTGCCTTGGAAGAATACAGGCACAATAATGACAGGTTACAGCAGTCTCATGGATTTCATTTAGGCAAAAGGAACTTCACTGAGAGACTTGGGGGGGAGTGGGCGGTGGGAAGAAGAAAAAAACCCCAGTACCTTATTTCTAGATTTCTCTGTGAGAACTTGAGTAGGACTATGTCAGTTTTGTTACTGTTAAGTGCTATTTTCCTGACTTAGGAAAGTGTTTTGTGGGAGACAGGTACAGAGAGGAAAAGGATGAAAAACTGCCAAAAGGATGTCAAGAAGTAACTTTTTATTTAAAAACCAGTGACTTTTCTCTGTGTCTTAGTTCTTTAAATCCGTTCTGCTTTACTCCAGCAAAAAGCAGCAAAAATTAAGAAGCGGTCAGTCTTCCCCTGCTTTAGAGTGGGTTTTAAACTTGTTTTCACTTCAAAACACGTGCTGATATTTCTTCAGAAATGAGGGGGCTTACTAAGCCAGGTCTTTCTGAAACTGTCCCCTTGGTCTCCTGATCTCAGTCACCAGCTCCACAAGTCAAAACCAATGCCAGGCTTTCCTCCCAGACAAATTTGAAAAGTGGGAATAAATTAACTTCAAATATATAATCCACCCCTGCCGGTATGAGAATTTCTGCACGCCCACTGTTCGCCTTTTTTAAACCATGTTACC